ACCACCTACTTCTCCTGCTACAAGTCAGTCACTTTCAGAGGATTCTTCATATATACATGTAAGTGAATCAAGTGCCTCTAAAGATTTCAGTCACAATGAATCATGGATTACACCATCACCTCTACCACCACCAATTATGCATAAATCTGAACCACACTCTTTTACACCTTTAAATTCATCTAAATCATCCCCATCTTTGTCATCCTTACCACCTCAGTCAAATTATTCAATACAATCAATACCAAAATCTTCACCGTCTAACAACACTAGTACTGAATCACTTGTACAAAACCAATCACAAGAGCATGCAACTAATAATGAGACGCCAGATTATGAAAAAGGTGGCTATTTTATAATGTGTAGATTCAGTGCAGCCTTTGTCGTCAGTTTTTCCACCAGAGGTAACTATAATTATTTAACATTCTAATAGTTTGTGAATGTATTAGGTGCTTCAGCCACCATATAATATTTTGTGGGAATTAACCTGTGATGATACTGAGATAACACAAGATTATGCATCTATATGTAATGTACCAGCTGATGACTGTAAGTAGAGTTACCTAACTCAATCCAAATTTTTTTTTTGCAGAAATAAGTCGGTAATAAAAAAAAATCATAGGAAAAATGGCTAAAATTATCAAAAAGTACTGTTTTCATACTAAATCTTGGGTCTAAAGTTGCAATTTCTTACCTTGCAGCCATTTGTCAAAATCACTTCCGGTTGTGGGCGGTCACACGATGACGCAGATGGGAAATATTAGCAAGTTTCTGCATTGAAATATTAACGACTTCAAGGCTGGATATCTAAGCTATGCATGCAAGAAAGCAGCTAAGAGGTATTTTTCAAGTAATAAGAGCTAAATAGAGCTAGTATATACAGTCAAAATTTAAATTTGTCAAATTAATTTTTTTACAAATATATTGATTTTTTTACCAGCATTAATGCTTGTAGTAAGCTTTAGATTAGTTCTACATGTATATATGGTCCACTTCATTAAAATTGCTTTCTTGCACGCATTGCTTAGATATCCAGCCTTGAAGTTGCTAATATTTCAATGCAGAAACTTGCTAATGATCCTCCATCTACGTCATTGCTTGACCACGCCCACAACCGGAAGTGATTTTGACAAAATGGCTGCAAGGCAAGATATTGCAGCTTTTGACCCAAGACTTAGTATGGAAACAGTACTTTTTGATAATTTTACTTATTTTGTCTATGATTTTTTCTTTATTACCAACTTATTTCTGCGAAAAAAATTTTGGGTTGAGTTACCCTTCAATTGCAGTGTAAAATCATGACATGGAATTTTTTTCATGCAGTGATATTTTGACAGATGATTGTAATGGAAATCATGAAGTAACAACTACACTGGTAGGAGTAAGGAAGCGACCATTTGAACCTGGACAATTGCAAGCTAAGTGTGTTGAAACTGGCTCTCCTGCTAGTAAAAAGCAGAAAATACAGGAACAAAAAACTTGCCAATGTAAATAAAATTACTGCATAATTCCTTTTACTCTACAAGAACATAAAAAATTTAAAAAAAACAAGATTTAGTAGGATTCTGAACAACCAACGAAAATACAAAATGAAAATCCTACTCTCGTGACGCAAATTCTACTCTACATTGTACTTTTGATGTTATTATTTAAAACTTATGGATCACCTTGCAATGTAAAGTTAGAATTTGCATCACGAGAGTAGGATTTTCATTTCATATTTGTGTTGGTCGTTCGGAATCCTACTCAATCTTGTTTTTTTTTAATTTTTTATGTCCTTGTTTGTGTTGATTTTTTTATAATACATGTATTTATAATATTTCTTCAGTTACAATTGTGATACTTTTGATTTTACACAAACAATAAATTTCTTTATTATTGTTGTTATTGTTATGATTTTACAGCATTTATGAGGGACAGCACTGATTGAATTGAATACATATGGTGAAGGAATATCTACTATACTGATGACAAGTGAAATGAATACTATAGTCTTGATGTCAATCCTTGTTCAAGAAGCTCTATCTACCCAGCAATCCTGTAGCTATTGCTACAGGTTCTTCCTATTGTCAAGTTCATATCATCATTAGTATTATAACAGTAATTAATAGTTTTGTGCAGCCTCCTCAAATGCATTATGAAATCAACCAATTTTCTAACACAGGCTTCTGGAGGATTCTGGCAAACAGTAGTTTTTCTGCGAAGATAAAGACCTTTCCTTTATAGAAAAAGATTCAGCCAACCAATGATGCCTTTGAAAGAGTCATTAGTTGACAAGACTCTCGCCTGACGCAAAATCATCACACGATACAGTAGAAGACAATAAAAACTTCGCGTTCCGTTTACGTTGAACGGCGATTAAACGGTAGCGCCGTTTCCGTTTTTATTGTGGTTGTTCCGTTCATGGTCCGTTGGGTCTGGGCACTACCGTTTTTATTTTCATGAACAACGCTCCAAGCGTTGCTCGACTTTTCTCTTTTCTGACAGTTTCTTCAGGAGTCAGGCTTTCTTAGATACACTTACAAAACGACTATGAGCCATGGTTGATGATAAAACCAGACAGGTAAGTCATAAACGTAGCGACATGCATTTTATATAATTCACCCACCGTATTCTTATGTTGTATGATTCAATAGGACAACAAGAAGTAGTCACAAGAAAGAGTGCTCTGTCAAGCAAAGAAGCAGCTATTATATTATTATCATTTATAAAATAAAATCATGTAATTATAGACCTGCTAGTACCAAGATCAAAATGCATGACGCTTGAATCTTTTATAAAATAAAAAATATATAATACAAGTTTTTGAAAGTAAGAGTAGAATAATGATAAAAATATAGTAATGATACTGATAACTAATGCTTATCACACAATAAATTGAGACTACACCGAGCCTGGTGGCCCGTCCTCAGACGAGACGAGTACTTCACACCTCGACTCACACAGCGTCTCTTTGAGTTGAGGTCCATACTGAACTGATATGACAGTAGTATCTCCAGAGCGGCAGTCGAGAACGAGCATAGTAGTATCTGTGGAGTAAAGAAAACTCGAGAAAACCAAGGAGGCAAGGACAAAACATTGAGCCAACGTAAAAACGTGCTCCATGGAAAAACGGACCATAAACGGAAGTAAACGTTTTTTATATAGCGTTGAAACGCCCAACGGCCGTTCAACGTAAACGGAACGCGAAGTTTTTATTGGCTTGTACTGTACACGAAGATTACGCTGCCACAAATCAATGATCCAGTCAAAGGGACTTTCTTCCATATCTTCATCAAGAGGTCTCCTTCCCACTCCTTTCAGATGTGTACTTTTACTCTTTCCTTCCTTCTTCATCTTAGTTAGCGCATTTTCTTGCTTCGTCCACTCACGAATTCTCTTCCTATCAACTCCAAATTCTCTTGATGTAATAGCAATAGACGGCAACTTCAACAGCTTTGAGCTTGAATTTAATATCATATGAGTTGCGTTTCTCTCTTTCTGCCATCAGAAAAACAGCTACTCTCTCAAGGTAAGTAGTCTAAGTCACTGGATCAACACGTGTTGCAATGTGCTCATTTCTTGATTTCTACATGTAAATAACGCTCACAGGTATTATTTAGAGGATGGGCTACTATTTAAAACATGGGCGTTTATTGCCTTACAAGCACTTCTACCTATAAGCATTTATTCAAGATGGGCGCTTATTTAAGGAGGGTGTTAGATCGAGAACATACGGTACATTTTATCCTAGGACAAAATAATTCAACAATATTTTATTCTGGGACAAAATAATTTAACAATCTTTGTCCTAGGACAAAAAAATTCTTAGTAGGACAAAATTAGTCCAACAATTATTTGTCCTAGGACAAAATAATTACAACAATTTTTATCCTAGGATAATTCTCATCAGCATTTTTTTATCCGGTAGGACTGTTTTTGGGTGGGACAGATTTTGTTATGACACTCCCCTCAAATCCTCCAACACTTTCACAATTCTATTCAATTCCTCCCTCACTTTCACAACCACTTTCTCATGACAATACACAAAGTGTCCTCAAGTTAAAAGGTAGTTAGCTAACAATTTATAACACACTAAATTACAGACACTACTATGCCACCTATTATGAGAAAGCGTGGCCGTCCCAAAGGCCATGAAATAACTGTTGTTGGACTACCAAAGAAAAGTAACAGTTCATGTCCTAAAATTTTACCCTTCCTGAAATTACACATGTACACATGTCTATAAAAGAGAAAGGTATTGATCATACAAATGAATCTTACTGGCATAAGTGATTCATAATTTTTTAGTCATGTTGCAATCGTTTGTTGATGAAAAATTGCTAAAGCTGCCCTGGAAAACCCAGGACAATCAACTACTGAAGAAGAGAATGTATAAGTTCGTCCTGAAAACTTACCAGATGGCATAGTAGATGAAAATTATGAAGTTCATCTTTGTAGGAAGCATTTTACCAATGAAGCCTGGCTTTTGCTAATGGATGTCCTTCGTCAAAAGAAAGAAAATATTGTATTTATCTGCAAATGCTGTTTTCATGATTTGCATGACGAACCATCCATTGTTTGTGACCATTGTTTATTGTGGTATCACATGAGGTGTGTTGGATTGAAGCGAGGACCGAAATCAAAGCATTGGTTTTGCCGCAATTGCCATGATAATCATCGGCCACTAAGTCCATTATCATTTTTATTATAAATCGCTGGTTATTACAGATGAAAAATAATTACTAAGGGTGGGGCACTAGTGTGACTAGTCATACACGAGTTTAGTTTTTGCAGTCATACTCATTGGAAGTCCAACCTTCAGTAGATCTTGGAAAAGCCAACTAGTCACTTTTTCACTTGCTAAGATGGTCGCCAGTTTACTAAAGACTGCCATAAGGGGCCGGCTCCCGGTTCTCAAGCTACTATCCTTTCCAAACTGGTTGCCGGTCCCAGAGGCACTGGTTGTAGCAACCGGCTGCCAGCGCTCTACTCACTTCGTATAATATAAAGAATTGGCTTACTTTTTTGAGCTGCAGGTTTCTTTGCTGCTCTAGATCTCAATAAATAGGAGAACCTTTCCTGTGCTTGCACAGAGGCTGTAGCAGCAGCCACTAACTCTTCATCAACATGCCAATCACTGGAGAAATTATGAAGAAATGCAAGTGAGAAAGGGCTGAAAATAAACTGGGCAACCTCAACACGCCTCTTTAGATAATGTAACCAATCTAAGTGGGAAGGTGACAATCTCATCTGCAGCTAAGCATTTTTGGGTTACCTTTTTGAAATTTAGGTTTATTTTCTTTCCTAGATCTCCACCATAGGCAGCGGAAAGGTCGAGTCGGGATAGGCATCCTACCAAGATTAAGGAATTAAAAGCTGGATGGAAAAGGTTTCATGACACGCCCACCTCATGTTCGGGTACCGGGTGCACCCAATGCGCACGCATAATAACGTCATAATAATATTGTATGACCTATTGAAACTAGAACAAAAAAATTTTTTTAATTATTTAGTGTAGGGTTGAGCCTTGGATTTGAACCTATAAAATGAATTAAAACAACCCTCTGTAGGGTTGCTGGTTTGAAAGTATAAAGTGAATTCAAACAAGCCCCTGTAGGGTTGCATCACCATTGAAACACATGCCTACACTGCAGGTATAATTGTCCAATCATTATCATTACTTTAAACTTATTGAAGG